CCCCCCCCTCCGCCTATTTCTCTCTGCAAGCGGACTGTGCTCTGCTCAATAGCAACGATCCGAGTGTATAGATAGCGTATCCCTTATCCAAATTAAAACGAGAGGTTGCCTCATATTGCACGTCTTTAGGTGTCGGCTGCATAACCGGGAGATAAGGTCTCTTTTCGTCCCTCGTCTTTTACCCGCATTTGCTACACACACTATGGATACACACGTTCGTTTACCCCGTTTACCCGCGTCTTACGGCGATCTGAAGTAGGTTGTGTGTGTGTTGGCTTGCAGATGGTGGAGGTCGGCACCCTGGCCGGCTACTCCGGGATCCAGATCGCGCGCGCCATCGGGCCGGACGGCCACCTGCACACCATCGAAGTCATCCCGCAGTTCGCAGAGGTGGCCAAGGAGTCTTTCCGCAAGGCCGGCGTCGAGGATCGAGTGACTGTGAGTGGAATGACCTTCACAACTGCGTGCCATATGGTTTGGGATTTTAATTTTCCCCAAAAGTATTTTTTCCTGAAAAGTTTTATTTTTTCCCGATTTTTCTAGAAAAGTTTCAAATTTTTCCCTAAAAACAAACACCAAACAAACACAAATCTACGGATGGCTGTTTGAGACTGCTCATCCTCGTTCTCCTCTCGCCCCGCAGGTACACGTCGGCTCGGCTGCCGAGGTGCTGCAGCGACTGTCCAAGCTGGGGCCCTTCGACGCCGTGTTCATCGACGCGGACAAGGAGAACTACCCCGTCTACCTGGACTGGGCCGAGGAGAACATCCGGGTCGGGGGCGCCGTCTTCGCCGACAACACCTTCGGCTTCGGGCACGTGTGGCGGGAGGCCGACACGATCGTGGACAACCCCAAGCTGCGCGGCCAGGTGGCCGGGCTGCGGAAGATCAACGCCCGGCTCGCCAACAACCCCAACTACCGCGCCACCATCCTGCCCACCAACCAGGGCCTCACCATGGCCGTGCGGCTCAAGTAGCTCGTCCAGTCACCTGCTCTTGTTGTGCTCCTCATTATGGATCTAGGCTTTAAATGTCACACGGAAATATTTCTTCTTTTTCCTACTTTATTTTCACACATGCAATTTTCATTTCATTTAAATAAATCTCATTCAACAAAGCTTCGGATGGAGTATGATTCGAAGTTTGAGTAATTTATCCCTGATTTTAAGAGATCACACAACCGAAAAACTAGCGAGTCTCATTGGAAGACAATAATCCTTACACGGCCGATCGTGCTGATAGCACCCGAAGACATTGTGGTAATCGTGTCTTGAGCGCCTGTCGTTTCTCGGGTAGCCCAACCCGCACGACACACGTGTGTGGTAGAGAAGCTGTTGCCTACATACAAGGCGCCTTGCGGCCTCGTCTCTTCTTGAGCTTTGCAACCGACGGGACCGCGGCGACGGTATACCGGTCATTTCACAAAACAACTCTACCGTTATGGTAAAAGGCGTCGTCAGGTCCATGGAGAGGAAATCGATGAGAGGAAAAAAGGCGTGAGGAAAAGGGGGGGGGAAGGCTGTCAGAGCTGAGGGCGTCCGCGACAGGCCGCGGGAGAAACGACATGGTTCTTTAATCAATGTAGCATTTTTTTTTAAAGAGAAAAGAAAGTCGGCGTCCAGTCGCCGTCCAGTGGAGTGTTTCTGCAGTGGCGTTCAGAGCAGCAGCGCGCCGCGGAGGGCGCCGCCGGCCAGCAGCGGGAGAGCCGCGAGCAGGGCACCGGGTGGCAGGGCGGCCGGCCGCGCCGAGGACCCCGGCGCCGGGACGTGGGGCACGCGGCCCGTCCGCCCGATCCGCGTGAAGAAGTAGGCCGACTCCTTGAGCGTGCGGTCCAGCGTGCCCGACGCGTAGTCCACGTGCACCAGGCCGAAATTGCGGCTGGCGGAAAAGCAGGTTTTACGTGTGCTCCATAAACCTTTTTGAGATTGTGTCAGTGCGGGAACGTCGTCGTGTTTTGAAGGGCGATCGGTGGCTTATCCATACCTGTAACCCGCTGTGAATTCGAACAGGTCCAGAAGCGACCACGCAAAGTAACCCATGACTTGAATGCCGTACTCTTTCATCGTGCGCAGAAGTGTACGAATGTTTGTCTGGAAAAAACGAACGCGTCAAAGTCGTGAAAAGTTTCCAATAGTGGCCAGCCGTCTGTAAGCAAACACGTAAAATCTCGTTTCCATTCCGTGCAATGGACTTTTCCATACGCTGTGGAAGTGTGCGCGCATAGTGTCTTTGACTCCCATCGATTGGACGTCGGCGAATCCGTTTTCGGCTATGATTATCGGAATGCGGTAGGCGTTCCACGTCCACAGAACCGCATCATGCATCACCAAGTAATCCGAACCGGTCTGGAAAGTGGAGAGCGGAAAATGCCACATTAAGACTATTTTGAATAGCGCAGTTGAATGGGCGAGAGAAAGGAAATTCCCGGGCGGGACTGGAACTGGACCTCGTCATACTCGCCGCCGACCATCCTGACAAACGGCAAGTCATCCTCGAGAGGCTTTAGCAGCCTGGGGAACTGACTGCTGTCCGCGGGGTTGTCGCGGTACGCCACGGTGTAGCGGTTGTACACGTTCAGGGCGATGAAGTCCAGAGCCCCCTCTGGAGAGAAGACAGACGGTGGAAAAACTAATGTGACATGTGTCACACAAATTGGTGTGACCGGTTTTGGTCATACCATGCAATCTGACCTGAGTTTAGGTCACACCAATTGATGATAGGCATAACACATTGGAGATCAAGGCCACAAACTTAGTTCATCCATTAGTTTTTCCAGTGGATCAGCGATCAGCGCTAACCACACCATAACCCAACCCAGTGCTCCTTACTTACTCGCGAGCTGTTCCCTCTCGGCGGCGGTGAAGTGCGGGAGCCTGGACGCGTTGAGGCCCAGCTCGGCCGTGCGGCTGTCCACCAGGCGGCGGGTGACCGGGGAGTAGTCGCCGTGCACGAGCGGGTGCATCGAGGTGCCGGCGAAGAGCTGCATGAAGGCGTCCGCCGCCGTCACGTCCTGGCAGCGGGTGGTGGCGGGCGTGGCCGGCCACACCAGCAGCGAAGCGCCCACGAGCCCTGCGGATCACACCGGTTCAAAAGTACTCACATTATCACCTTGTTCAAAACTTTTAAAAATTGTTTTTCTTTAAAAATTTCCCAAACATTTCATGGGCAACTTGAATGGCAAATATCATCGTTTTGTTGAGAGGCTCTGTGGCTTTTTGGATTATTTTTTTTTTTGGGGGGGGGGCCAAAGAGTACTTACAAAAGTGTAGAGCCCCTCCCTTCTCGTTATTCCGGCACACTCACCCTTCTGCTCCGCGTAGTACTTGTCGCGGTACAGGCGGTACGTGCGCAGGTGCGCCAGGTTCATGTGGTGCATGCAGCGGTAGGTGCCCAGCTCATCCGCCGATCCTACGCCGACCTTCGCCAGCACGACGGGGAAGTACACGCAGTAGTTGTTGGGCTCGTTGATGGTGATCCAGTAACGCACCTAGCACTAGGTCGTGTTGTAATACTTCCGCATATCATCCACCATTACCAGTCAAAAACATCACCCTCGACTAGTGTCGTTAATACCTTGCTGCCGTATGTAGCAAAGAGGAAATCGGCGTACTCGACAAACTTGTCAACCATCTCTGGATAACCCCAGCCACCGGTTTGGTTCTCCAGCGCAAACGGCTGGTCGAAATGTGCCATAGTTACCTGGGGTAGAAAAACAATACACTCAGTGAGATACTTAACGGCATAGTAAGTGGAAAATATGAGCTACGATCGTACCACTGGCGTCAAATCGTTCTTGATGACTTCATCGATGTAGTCGTGGTAAAAATTCACCCCTTCGACGTTAGGGTGGTTCCTGTCCCCTGTCGGCAGGACGCGAGCCCATGATATGGAGAACCGCAGAGACCTAAGCTGCAATAAATGAAAGATTATAACGCGCTTTTGATGTGGGGGCGACTGCCAAACTGCTGCTCACAACGACCCTGCGCTCTTTACCTTCATCTGTTTGGCCAGGGCGATGTCCTCCCGATACCGATCGTAGTGGTTCGCCGCCCAGTCCGCATTGGCGGGGAAGCCCGCCCTCTCGTCGTGCACGACGTGGTCCAGCACGCTCTCGCCCTTCCCTGCGGAGTCCAACAGGTCATTAGAAATCATGTTCACTGCTCCCAGTTAACATGATCCTTGCGGCATGACCACTTTGTGGTCACGCGCAGACCTCACTTTTAAGAGTCGTGGTTTGAGTTACGGAACTTCTGAGCTTTTGTGATCAGCCCAACTACGGCCTAAGAAAGGGTGGAAGTATCTCCAGATTTTCCGGGAGCAACGAGACCCTCGCGCCCTCACCGTTCTGTAGGCCGTGACCACTATGTGGTCACGCCCCCAAAACCCCTAAATACATAGCGACGTGTTGGCATTTGCGTAGATTGGGTGGGGTGACTTTGGTTGTCTTTCTCGAGTGGTGCTCATGTCAGGCTAGGGGGAAAGCTGCAACTCACGGTGATCGGGAATGCGGTTATTATTCCTCGTTGCCAGATGCTAACTGCCGAAAATCGCGGAGCCGATGCCACACGTGTGTGTTTAGTGACTCACCTCCTTGGTCCCAAGCGCCTTCGGCCTGGCAGGCCGATAGTGCGGCTCCGATGAGGAAGCCGTCCGGGACGGGGTACTCGATGTCGTCCTCATTCCCGAGCTTCGGCTTGTCCGACTGGCGAGTCCCCTGAAGAATAGCGAGCTCACGATACTACTTTTGCACAAAGTTTTCAGGCTGTTGCTGCTCTCCTCCCCCTCATCCCTCCCCTCTCCCTCGCGGTGCTGCCCGCGCTCCCCGTAGCGCCTGCGACTCTCCGGGTAGGCAGACCCGCCGGGCAGCCGCGTGGAGCCGGCGGCCCGCCCTGGGGGCGCTCCCAGCGGGGGCGGCGGCGGCGGCGCCAGCGAGGGGGCGCCAAAGATCTCCCGGGGTTCACACAAAGATCCGCGAGGGTTTTGTGTAGATAAATACACTCGTACCCCAGCTTGCTCTCCCCCCACTCTTTCGACAGTCCCCAAGACTGTGTCTCTACCAGAAGGAGTACCCCCCCCCCTTTCCT